GATTTTCAAATAATCAACATTTACATGAAACACACAAAGGAGGTTCACAACATACAGCACAAGTGTGTCAGCAGTACACAGCTCTCAACCACAGATTTTGCATATCAAAGAATATCTCCAAGATAAACACTTGGATGAAGTTTGCCATCTGCAGCTAAACTTGCATGCTAACACACAGGAAGATGTGAGAAACTTGGTAATGCTGCCTTCAGCTGAGGAAGGTGGCTTGAAATTATCCCAGGAAGATGGGCACTTGTAACCCTTGGCTACCAGCAGACGGACAACAGGACGAAGAATTGCACTATTCCCAACAGCGGCTGGGAAACCAACCAAAACTGAGTCCCTGCTTTACACACCGTTGGTCTCTACTAGTTCCTGAAATTACAGATGACTCTGCACAATACACTAGTTCCCCATTCAAGAAAATCTAATTTAAGCAGATTATAAATAATCACTAAGATACAGATGGCAAAACCTCATTGTTACAGCGCATAATTTGAGTATTTACTTGCAAAACTGGAAGAGGAAAAAATAAAACTCACAGAAGAGCACATAAATGATAAATGCAAAAGATACAGAGGATCAGTGAGGAGACAATTCTCTTGTGCCAGTGCCAACGGAAGTTTCTGGTATCACAAAAGGCTGTCCTGTTCCAAAATCATTCCAGGGTGTCAGTAACATCTAATGCAATTCAACATATTGAACATACATTTAGGGAAAAACCCACTCATCTCAGTAGAAAGAGCACTGCATCTATTTAACCTGTGCTTTGGTTTGGTTTCTTACCAGAGGATTTATCATCTTTAAGTTAGCAAAAGAAAACCTTTTTAATCCAAGATCTTTGTAATCCAAGATCTGAATTGCAGCCACAGTGCTTGCCAAACTCCACTACAGCACTTGCACGAGATGAACCGACGGCTACGTGATGGAGCTCGTGCTGCGATGGCAGGAGTTATAGCAAGGCCAGCTCTCGGACGACAGCTGGACTGAAGTGGCCACGGCCCGTTCTCTGATCCCTAAAGCAAGTGACACAACGTGGCTCTTGCCTACTTGGTCCTGACGTGAGAGAACTGAAGATGAGCTCAGCAATAACATGCATAACCCTACCCTGTAAAGGTTGCATATGCTTCCCACAGCTGACCACTTGTTAGCCAATCTTAGACCAGCTCCACAATTCCTTTACTGTAATTTAGGTCTGTTAATTCTAATGCCATCCCTACTTGAAAAAAAAACCCCTAAAAAATTACTATGTTTTTCCCAATTTGCAATAGCATTTCAGGTTTTTGCATAATTATCATACATGCCCTTAGGTCTTCTCTTTGGAGTAATAGTTTCAGACCTCTCTGGAGTAAACTCTGCCACTGCCATGCTTTTACAGAGTCTCCTCACGCTTTCTGAGCCACCTTCACTTTTTCCTTATCCCTCTCCAGCCTACCTAGCAGCATCAGCAAAGAGCTTGTTAGCATGACGCGGTGCCTCGTGTCCTGCTGGAAGCCAGGCTCTAGAAAACACCTAAGGCTTAATCTTTCCTTGTTGCTGATGTTTCTGGATTTCCAATCACAGTTCCTGTTCTCTTCTGGACACTGTAATAACATCCTCATTTTCCTGAGGAGTTAGCCCTTGCACAGAGTTTATTTTAAAATATCAGAGATTCTAGCTGTCATGGAAAAAGGCACTGTCTCTGCAGGCTTTGGACAAATACTGTATCTGCTGGCACATCTGCATTTCAGACAATTCCGCGTCCGTGTGATGCGTGCCGTGTCAATCTGCACTAGCTGCACATAACTGCTTAGCCAGCTTACTTACCCAGGAAGGTACCACAGCTAAGGTGCCAAACAAAAGTATATACAAACACTTTGCTTTGTTAACTGATAACCAACAAAGCTGCCATTAAAAAGACGTATTTCAGGGATTTACATCCTAAACAGCCAGTGTAGCGCAAGAAACCAGAAATACATGCACAGAATCTGATCCTCACTACTGTGATCAAATGGGGATTTTTCTGTTTTTTTTTTTTTTAATGGGTTTTTAGTGGGATTGGTTACTGTGGTTTTAAATTAAAAAAGTGCTTCCCCCGAACACATACAGGTCTTCAGAAACAGGATCCTCGTTACTGAATTTTTAGACACATAGCTAAAGGCTTAATATGTGAAAGATGTAAAAATGCACATCAACATTACTTTTAACATTATTTTCATTACTTGGAGCATTTTAACTCAAGTTTAGTGTGGGATGTGTCACTTCATTACATAAAATCAGAGTCAGCTACACTGAACATACCTACACATTTTCCTATACAACATTAAGCTTTACATGAAGCTGGAGAGGGAGGTTTTTGAAAAACAAAAAAGCACAGCCTTGGTTTTTGATGGAAGTGATTGAACTGCCCAGGGTCAGGGGCTGAACAGTCGCAGCCAAACTGGTGCACCAGGGTGACCAGATTTGTACAGTACTGGAATAATCAAAGTATGTAACTCACTGCCAGTTTACATACTTTAACTGGAGATATTGCATTGAGTGGCTATTGGTTTTTTTCTGCATTAATCCACTGGGGGTGTGGAGGGACACAGACAGATGGGACCACACTTAAATACATGGAAACTCCCCAGAAACATAAGGTGAAACATGTGCTCCAAGCAGACCTATCTAGAACATAATATGAACAAAAGCAATTGCTAAATGCCTACAAGCTACGTGTTATGAATTCCTCCATTTTAATTGTTATAAGCCATTTGAGAAACAAACTGTTTCCTATGCCACAACATAGGACAACTAATGTTAAAATACACTTTCAAGGAGATAAAAGCTTCATCACCAGGAAGCTACTGGCTTTTAAGTATATAAAAAACTTCCAAACAACATGACTGAATGATAAGGCAAAAAAACATGGAACTCTGAGTCAGCCTCCAAACTTGTTTCCTTGCTATTTGTCAAGTTCATTATTTAAACACAACGTTGTTTTCTTAACTTAATATGCATACTTATACAATGGCTTAAATTAAGGCATAATCCAGCGGGTTGAAGTTTTCAGTAGAACGTCTGTTGCTTTTTATTAGTAATGCTTGGTTCAGATTTCTGCTGGCAAATGTAACATAGTGCATTAAAGAGGACCCTGAAAAAGAACATCCCTTTAAGCCTACTATCCTCCATTAGGGTGATTTGTAAATTAAATGTAGTGCAGGCCTTTGGACTCAGGAAGCCTTTCAAGAAATTCACTAATAAATCTACTTATCAGACAGGGCCTGAGGCTCTGGTAATACTCTGAAGCCATAGTGTGGTTTTACAGAAAGCCCTTCACATTGTAGAGAAGGAATACTACCCACCCAGTGTAAAACAGCAAAACAGACGTTGTCATCCAAAAAGCACAAGGCAGACTTTTGAAATACCCAGCCAAAAAGACAGTGGCTGAAATTTAACAGACAGACCGTAAAAGAAAGCCCTTCAGAATCGAACTGGAGACTCTTATTTAAATGCACTGCCTCTGATCATGTCACTACGATAATACTTCTTAATGACATTTTGGGCTCTCAAGTTCTCTGAAGAGTATTTCTTCCATGCAATTTGGAATCATATTCTAGGTTCCTAGAATAAAACTGAAATAGAAAATGGAATTAATGTCAAGTGTTTGAGGTTTTCTGGGATTATGATTTAAGCATAGAACAGACACCTCTGATAAAGCCAAATGTTCTTAGGTGGAATAAATAATACGCAAGTCACATCATCCCTTTTTGTCTACTAAAGCTGATTTAGGCTCAAAACATGTTATACAGGAAAACACACAATTTCAGGAACATAAAACAAGACTAGCTGCACCCCAAAAGTTTAACAAATTTAGTCCTTCACAACGTCATGTGGCAAGAGATGCAAAATAATAGACTAGACCACAACCTCATTCCAAAATCTGACAGGCCATGCTTTGGCTACTCTTGAGACAAAGAAAACATGACTGAGGCAGTTGATTTGTTACTGAGCAGCAAGCAGCTTTACATCACAGCTGACTGTAGCACCATACGTGCTCCCTTGGGAATGAAAACACCACAGTATTTTCTTCAGAATTAGAAATTGCAATCATATTCCTCTAACGAATAATAAGTAGAAGCTCCAAACCATAAAAATATGAAATTTTATTGCTTTACTTTAACATTTTCCCAACAAAAATACTGCCTATTAAGCTTAGTATAGTGCTACCACCTATTTTGTCTTATTTGGCTTGTATTTCATTTCTAAAACATTAAAAATACTTAATATGCTTTTGCTTCCACACAGCGTTCTGTGACACTGTTTGTTTTCAGAAACAGCCCCTAGAATTCATGAGTGCTTAGAAAGCTTCCTGTAGCTCCATTCACCCTGCCTTTTAAACTAGACTAGTAGCCAACCCAGGTACCTGGAAGTAAAAACAAAGACAAAAAGGTTAAGAGATGCATTCAATGCACCATGGTACTATAAATCCTTTCAGAGGCTGGTAATTTAACCATTCTCTGCATTTCCTGAATGACAGTTTATTCTAAAGCATTCCCTTGTATCAATGGCTTTGACAAGCAGGGAAAGGTAAATTAAAAAGGTGACAATAGGGCAAGTACTAAAAAAACCTGATCATGCTTCTTTCGACTACGCATTGTGGTAGACTCATTCAATGCTTTTCCTCTGCGTTAACACTATGCTAAAGCAGCAAAACAGTCACACAAGCACAGAGTACTGTGCAAATAAAGACTCAATACTACCCTGGCATAATGAAAATGGAATGGTCAAAGGCATTCCCTATTAAAATGATCACTGAAATCCATACATCAGAACCCTTGTAGAGCACCATATTTCAGAAAGGTGTTTGAAATGTATCGCTGTACCGAAGCTGGAGGCAGAACATTTGTTGCTGGGTTTGATGATCAGACTCCCAGGGATGTTCCTCAATGAATGCAAACTCTACTAAACCAGTCCTAAATACATACTGGTTTTATATGGATATGTTTGTGAGGGAAAGTAAGGAGTTCTTATCGCATCATTTAGTCCAGCTGTTTTTGCTCTGCACTGAGGCATTTGCTTTCAGGGTTGTCCTTAGTCTGACCAGCTGGTTCCTCACTCCGTGCGGCAGAAATTTCTGACTGGTCCGTCTTTGTGTTGATATCAGCCAGCTCCTCTGCAGCTGAGGTGGGGCCATGCAGCTCCTTCACATGGAGGGTAGGACAGGCCATCTGCTCTGCGTTTTGTTGAGAGGCTGGTGCATTGCTATCTTTGGCAAGCTCGGAGCAGTTGACAGGAGCTATCACCAAGGGAGGCTGAGGTAGGTCTTTCTGTAAATGGAAGATCACAGTCAGAAGGATGGAAAGCAAGAGTTACTGTCCCCAGTTACCAGGAGCGACGGTGATACAAGATGAAGGTTAAAGGTCCATCACCTCCGTTATCATTCTCCAGAAGCGGACACATGCATACAGTTAGCCTGTCTTTGTGTTTTATAGTACACAAGAGATTTTTCTTCCAAAAATGCATTTAACTGTTTTCTGCCTGAGTGTTCCTCACCAATTATGCAGGAACAGCCAAAGAGCACTTTGGCACTTCATTATTCTCTGGTTTTGTCCCCCTTTACTATCAGTGCACAACAACTGGCAATTTGTCCATCAAATATTTCTCTAATAATTAAATTCAGTTCTCTAGAGGAAAGTTGTGAAGGTGATCACAAATAGCTGAACAACAAAATAAAACTCACTGGGGGAATCTCTAGCTTGATTTGCCCTTTAAGTAATTGTTCAAAACCTACACTCGTGAGTCATGACACAACTGATTCCTTTTGGAATCAAGGTAATTTCATTGTACCACAGTGAAACAAAGCGACAATTTACCATACTGAACTAGATTTCTACCTTCACAAGCTGTGAAAAAATAGGAAGAAAAATGCTTTATGGGTATTTTATATAACATTATAAAATATTTTATAATAATAAATAATGCTTCCAACAGATCAAACCAGTAGAGTTATAATAAATAATGCTTCCAACAGATCAAACCAGTAGAGTTATGGCAGAATCAAGAAGGATAGACAAGGTCTAATTTACTTTTCATTAGTCAGTTTAAGTGGCCATACACATTAAAAAAAAAAAAACAAACACAAAAAAACCCAAACACCTGACTGAGGCAAAAAATGTAAAAACACCCCACCCCAAAACAAACCCCAGACAACCAGCAAAACAAAAATTTTTGGTTTTGTTTGGTAACACTGCAATATTTTACTCAACTTTAATTCTAGTTAGGTTTTATAATATTAGTATTTCTTGAAGACACTCATATCAAACTGGTATTCACCGCAAAACCGCTGCCCGTCCAGAACATTGCAAGTTCCTTTCTCCAAAGAGCCACAGCAAAGCTTGTGAGAAGAGTAGAGGGCACCAAGTAGAGGAGAGCAGGCTGTCCTATCTGCATCAATGCCAAGGCAACAAAGGTCACAAGAAGGCCTATGCCATACGCTGAAAGGAAACAAAACCCGCAAAAACCAGTTATTCAGATACAGCTCTGCACAGGAACAACTAAGTTAGCTAGATGAGCATGCCAACAGGAATGTCTTTCCAGTGATATGTAAGACAGCCCCAGAATTTTTTTCAGGCCTCTTTAGACAAGCATTATATACACAATGTAAACCTGGAATAGTGCTTTACTTAGAGATATTAGTTTTCCTATTGATAGTAATATGTTGTGAAAGTAGTGTGATGAGACTCGATGATACTGGGGTTGAAATCATTACCTTAAGCAGTTTGAGAAAGGCAAAATAAACAAATGGAATATTGTGTCTCATATTTATGAATTCAACAGATACAGACAACTTTGACCATTATAACCTGTGCTTCTTGTTTGGTTTGGCTGTTTCTTACTATCCTGCAACACCACTAAAAAAAAAAGCCAGCTGTATGTTATGATTTGTTACTACTTTCTAATTTCTGCATACGTTCTGCAAAAATTAAAGTAGAACAGAAGCAGCTATGTTCTCATATTGTAATCATTTTCAATTACATTTTCAGAACAATGAAGCTAAATCAAACTGACTTTTATTCAGGAAACAGATGAGGAGACACATTTTGGTGCTCAAGCACATCCAAAGAGCAGCAATGAAGCTGGTGAAGGGTCTAGAGAACAAGACATGACCAACTGAGGGAGCTGGGGTTGTTCAGCCTGGACAGAAGGAGGGTCAAGGGAGACCTTATTGCTCTCTACAACTACCTGAAAGAAGGTGTAGCAAGGTGTGTGTTGGTGTCTTCTCCCACGTGACAACCGACAGGACAAGAAGAAATGGCCTGATGTTGTACGGGGGAGGTTTAGATTGGATATCAGGAAAAATTTTTTTCTGTGAGAGGGCTGTCAGGCATTGGAACGGGCTGCCCAGGGAGGTGGTTGGGTCACCATCCCTGCAGGTATTTAAGACACATGTGGATGAGGTTTTTGGGGACATGGTGGATTTGGTAGTGTTAGGTTTATGGTTGGACTTTATAATCTTAAGGGTCTTTTCCAATTTTAATGATTCTATGATTATAATACTCTAACGTTTTACAGTTCTTCAAAAATGTTTTTTTTCTTCTGGGCACATTATGTTATTGGTGAGAGTTTCTTCTATCTAGTTGAAATATTACTTCTGTTAACCCTGTGTGCCTGCAAGAAGTGTTTTCTCCAAATCCTCACGTCAGGTAGCTGGAAACAGCCACAGAATCTCCTCTTTGCCTTCCCTTTTCAAATCATGAGCTCCAGTCCTCAGCCATCCTGACAGCCTCCACTGGATTTACTTCAGCATGTCAGTGTCTGTCTTGCACCAGGGGTTCTGGTTAAGACTCAGCCATAACTGCCATGTTAAGGGGGCATAACCACTTCTTGTACTGCTGACACAGCTCCCTATGTTGTTAGCTTTCATTCGCTGCAATCGTGTGCTGCTTCACTGATACTACGTTTTCCTATTGACTTCTGTAAATGTGTTTTGAAAGTACCAGGTATGACAACAGTTTTGTTTAAGTATATACAAGATGAAATTATTGAAGATTTGGTACATTGAAACAGAAGCCTCTATCTAACCCTGCTATAAGTCTCCAAGACCCTAGCTACTTTTTCAAAAGAATTTCTACAGCAGTTTTCCATTTTTAAATTTCATTTCATTTTTCATGACATTAACTGCAAGCATCAGAAGTCTTCATTGACATACTCTGTAACAAAGCCACCAGAAATCTGTAAGATCCTATTGATCAGTTGTCCTTAAGTCCACAGCATATAACACTGTGGATTCCACAAACTAAAGAAGAAAACTAGTTTAGAGGAGCTACAGACAGACTACAATGTGCTGCATCATAGGTCACGGGTTTTTAGAATACGCAAAAAGCTACGAACAAAGTCAAGGGAAAATATCCCCGAAGCTGAATTCTCATATGCAGCAAACACTGAGATTCATGAATCAGAAACCAGAATGAGTAGCTAAGCCTGTACAAAGATAGTGCAGTTGTAAAGCTCATAGTGAGACAAACACGGTAACAAGAAGCTCCCCTTACATATGGGGGGCAAAATAGCTCAGGAAAATGACATCAGATAACTTGACAATGGAAGGTCTAGCCTGAAACATACTTTGCTAGAATAATGCTGTTCAGTAATAAGAGGAGAAGAATTAAAAAAAAAAATGTAATATGAGACCAATAGTATGCTTTTAAAGGGAGCAACTCTTGCAGGAAATGTGTTTGGGTGTCACTTATACATACCTATTGTGCAGGCTACAAAATAGACTCTGGACGACTGCACCTGAATATCAAATCTATGGCAGTAGGCTACCAGTAAGCCTAGGAAAGGAAAGAACAATTACAACCCATTCAAACATTAAAATGCACAAAGCCATCCAATTATCTAGGAACTTTAAAGTTTTAGTCCCGTCCCCCCCTGCCCCCAACTTACTTGAGCACAAACTTATCATGTTTATAGAAGTCAAATCAAAACTTCCCACCTAAAGTGGAAGTACAAGAGGAATAAACTGACAGTGCAATAGGTAAAATCCTTAAGGTCCTGAACAAGAAATACCTGGAACTAAAATGTCTCCAAATCCTAGGAGAGAAAAAGGCCTGTCACACAGAGCCAGTGGTGAGGAGTTCAGCCGTGGAACCTTCAGGACCATTGGAAGCTTGGAATGAGAGAGACATAAGCCTTATGAAAAGCTGCTTTCCATACATACTGACAGCATCTACCAGAACTTGTTCCTGTTGTATTGAAACTGGAGACTTCAAATAGAGCAAATGTATCTTTTTTTACATTATAGATCCTTATGTTTAAAGTATTTTAAGATTAATGACAACTAATGAAATATACTTAATACAGAAGTGATGAAATACTTTTTAGAAACAAGACAACTGCACGACACATCTCAAAACACAGTATTAATTTCAATGTCCTCACATGTAATATCAACTCCACTTTAACTGCAGAAATGCAAGAAATGCCACATGCGTAAGAAATAACCATTTATATTTCATCCTACTAGTTGCAATAGAAGTCTCAAAAGAGTAAAGACTTGAATAATTTTAGAAAGTGATTTTTCAAATCACTTTAAGAAGATCCCCCCCTGCAATGTCCCTATTTATTATACAGCTTGCAAGACTGAGGCACAGTACAGCAAGGTTCGTTACAAACACATTCTCTTTCATACAGGACAATAAGGAAATTTTGTTTTCATCATTTTTTTCTCTTATGTTAGTGCTGGAATAGATTTATCTACTTATATTATCATTATTGTTTTATACAACTCATTCTGTGCATAAACTGATACTAAAGGGGTAAAAAGAGACAAGAATGTGAGGAGTTAAAGAAATTAGTGTGGATTGTATGGATTTACCCACTCTAGTTCATCCTGCAAACAACTATTTTCTCTATTTTTTCCACATGACAGTATTACATTCATTACTGAAAAGAGACCCGACATCCTTAAATTAACCAAACCACTTTTTCTACAGGTTCATTTCTTAGTGGCGGTGTACAAACCAAAATTATCTCACATACTTTCTTCCCCAAGTCAACCACATCATGTTGCACGGCTCTGTTCACACAGCTGCTTTCAAACAGTACAGAACCACTGAATACCGACTGCTGTCGTCTTTCTGTCTCCAACTTGTTTTTCTCTCCTTAGTGTATAGCCTCTGCTTCTCATAAGGCAATTATCAAAACAGGGGAAGAGACAGACACCTCATACAGGTTTCATCAGCAGCAAGTTACATTTACAAATGTGATCACATGTTTTTGTGAAGCTGAGCTAACCAGCTTCCTTATACTGAAACCGTTTTAAAGCAAGATAAAGGAAGACCAAAGCTGTTGTGATGAATTACAGCCTGTTTTGCCCCCCGTGTCTGGTGTGGATTTCCAGAGATCTCTGATTCAATTTATTTCCACATTAAATTCTTTTCAGCCTGGCAACTCCATTTCAGCATTATGGTCTTTGAATTTTAGACAATTTGGAAGTGTAATACCTGGAAGTTCACGCCATATTTTCAGACTACATACAGTACCTTTTCATGAGTGGCAGAATCAGACGGGCCTGCAGCCACCTCCACCATTATACTCTCACCAGTCTAAATAAAAAAGGGGAGAAAAATCAGCACTTCACTCAGCAGACCTGAGAAACACAGAGAAATAGGTCATTACACTTTGCTTTGTGAGCAGCAGGCCCAGGAGAAAAGTACTTACCTTTGTTAGAAAAGGTGTGATAAATACAAAGAATACATCATACACAAAAAGAACCAGGAGGAGCAAGGTACAGCCCTGCAGGAAGAGACAAAATACTTTGTATTTGCATATTATGCATTAGTCAACAGCAAAGAATTAATAATCAGCAACTTAAGACTATCCAAGGCAAAAGCTAACATGGACTGAAACACCTCACCCATGAATTTTTCTAAATTACTGAATATTTTAGATGGAGGAATTTGGCATGCACCATATAGAAGAAAACCATTCTTAGACACAAAATTACATGTTAGTCCCTAAAATTCGTTATCATGTAACACCTGGAAATGATGCCATTTCAATTTGTTAGGGAAAACAAATTAGTAAGGAGTGCTGCATTTCCTCTGGAGGATGCTAGGCACAGCTTGAAACAGTATAGACATTACTTTGGCCAATCTGTACGGGGAAACAGATTACAAACAAATAGGTGACAGTAGCTTGAAACAGTCTGAAGAGCTGCCTAAGGGGCAACTAAATAACTAATACTGATTTTTATCTTAGGATCCTGAATAAGTACTGGAAGATTTGAAAAAATACCAGACTGATGCATCAGTTGTGTAAAATTTCAAAAAACTCAACCCTAAAAAACACCCCCCTAAAAAACCCAAACCACCCCACATCAAAACCCCAAATAAACAACCCCCACAAAACACTCACAAGTGAGCGTGTGGTGTGGGATTTCCTGGCAGTCCACACTCTACAGAACTTTAAGTTACCAAACACTATGCATAACAATCACATGCCACTTTTTGGTCTACATTATACTTCTTACATCACTCCTCCAAGCTGCATGTGAAAGGAAGTACATTTCCAAGCCAAGGTACTCCATTATCCATGTGTTCAACTATACAGGCAAACATCCTCTTTTTACATCTGCTTAACTTCCATACCTTGAATGTAGGCAGGCGAATTGTTTTCAACATGTAAAGACAGAAAGCAATTCCTAAAGCATCTTGCAGAACCCAGGCCCACCTAAAGGAGGAGAGTAACATTTTTGCAGGGAACAGTCAGAAAGCCAGACAGAGTTTTGTCCTCACTAGGGACCTGCTTGGGACAAACAACTTCAGTAAAAGTACTTGCTGGAAATCACCACTGTGTCAGCATGGATCTGCAAATGGGAAGTTGTGCTTGATGAACCTGGTAACCTCCTACAGTGAAATGACTGGTTTGGTAGATGAAGGAAGAGCAGCGGGGATACTGTCTATCCAGGCTGCAGTAAGGCTTTCCACTGAGCTCCTCCCATCAGATTCCCAGAGGAAGTGATGAAGTATAGGCTGGATGAGCAGACAGTAAGGTGGACTGAAAACTGGCTGAATGAGGTGAGTGGGTACCAAATTAGGAAGCACTGGGGTCCTTTGTCCTGTGTATATGTGTAGACCCTGGTGTGCTGAGGGAAGCCTACAGCTGGGGCTGTTTCTTCACTGTGTTTTTCAAGTTAGTTATAAAAGTACCAAGGTTCTTTGCTTTACTCTTGATTGCTAGGATCAAAGAAGTAGAACTTGAGATATTAAACACCAAGGTTTCCCTAAAATTGCTATGGTCTAGATGCAGATGAGAGATTGTGCTGTTGTGATCAATACCCAAGTACTTGCTGATGGAGCTTTGTGCAGGAGACATTCACGTCCACCCCATCTTTGAAGGAGTAAATAGATACCCTAGTCCTAAATATCCTATGATGGAATAGTTCCACAGTACTTCCGTACTCCACAGTCTGACACTTACTTCTTTAAAAGGCATTTTAGAGTTGATGCTTCCTGGACTTACAAGTTCTGTCAGTGAATGATCCACTGCCTTAACACAGAAAATGGACCGCCCAAAGGCAGGAAGAGGCATTCAAAGCACAAGGCATCTTTGCTACCATCAGCAGAAACACAAACCAGCACTTCAGTTCCACCACAGAATCCCAGAGAGAGGGATCAAGAAGATGAACACATCATGTATATATGAGGAAATGAAGCATCTGGATAAAGGGTAAAATAAAACACCCCACCTTCCCCTCCATAAAAAACCCCAAAATCCCAAAAAACTAACAGAAGTGGTACGATCACGCTATTAATTAGGTACCACAGCAATACTGGACATAAAGAATTATTTACTCAGACCAGACAGTTGAGAGAACCTAAAGATCTGACAATCTTCACAGCTCTTATTCTCCCTGAGCAACTGCACACGCAGAACACCACCTGAAGTAGTACCTTAAGCAACTTGTGTCCAGCTTTCCATAGCACTTCTGCATAACTGTCTTAAGACAAAGAGATCAGAATACAGACTGTGACTCAGAGAAGTTCAAGCATAACAAAAGCCAGTTTTCTGTAACTTAAACCAACAAGGCAAAGATGAAGTACATAAGGAATTTCTGCCCAAGTCTCCAGTTTCTTTCCCGTCACTGCTGAATTCTGGGTAAATGTAAGCTACTACAGATCCCAGCTACTTAGAGTATACAAGCATACTGCAATTTCTAGCACAGAAACTAAAATATACACTTACTGATCTTCGTTTCTGAAGATGCCCCACACTACGCTGACAGATACACAAAATCCTGCCAACAGCAACATCCGGATCTGAGGACGCTTGTGAAAGTAAGGCAAGTTGTTGTCTGGGACTCTGAAAGTGAAACACACCAAAGCTACAGTTGTCTTTGTAGTTACCCTCCTTCTTTATAAACGTTTTGAAGTATCAAACCACCTTTGAAATCCCACATCCAACATTATAAAATATTAATTTTTCCTATTAAAAATTTAGAAGTTGCACGTACCTACACTTTCCCCAGGGGAATCTTCTTACAAAGGGAGACAGACAACTGTAAAGACCAATTGAGGCAGCCAGGCAGAATATTCCTATGATAACATAGACTGAGAAAGAAAAAAGTAGTAAGTCCAAATAGGATAGGGTAAGAGATGCTTTTTTTATATCCCAGCTGAGTAAAACAGACAATAAAAACACCTGAATAAGAAATAAGGCTTACATTTCACCACTGAAAGTTAAATTCAGAGACTTCAAATGATCTGTTGAAGTAGCTATTGCTTAAAGTACACCTGAGTAAAGTGAGCTAGAATTAGATACTTAAAGAGCATAAACCTAATCAACAGAACTTCTGTGCTTATATTCTTAAGGTGAGTCATTAAATCATAAGCCTAAAAGACAATTCACAGTGAAGTGTTTATGTAATCATTACAAGTAAACGTGAGCATTATAAGGTAACTCTTAAAATCACTCAGTAGCAAAATGAATCAGTACAGCTGGAATGCGTCTTGCATAACTTCCTCAGAACTATAAGGACAGCCATTCCAGTGCACTAGACTCACATACTTTTGTCTATCAATTTGCTAAGTGATCAGTAGAAACCTATCATTTTTATAAAGATTAAAAAAAATTGACCCTGGATCCCATAACTTCACTTCAAATCAAACAATATCAGAAAGACAAGAACAGGTTTGAGAACACCTTTGACAAAAATAAAGTTGTATTTGTATTGTCTTCCACCTTTTAAGATTACCTAAGTGGTCATAGAAGAAATAAAGGAGGACCAGCATTGAGCAGCACATCACTACAAATACACAGATCATGATTGGAGTCACATCAACCGTTTCATCATCATGTTTCTCTGCCCCATCATCACGTTTGTGCTTCATGTACCGCCTGAAAGAGTAACACGGCTACAATCAATCCATTCCTTCTGCAACAGAGGGCACTCTATTGAGAACTACAAGGGGTTGGAAAACGTGACACACCACCAATGCCTGCATTGATTTCCACTCAGGTCAGTGAAACTCCAGATTTTACACAGATGTATGAGCATCAGATAAACTAATGCAGCAACTACTGTTTTAGGCATTGTGTTGTATCAAGAGTACTATTTTTCATTCACCAAGAACTCAGAATCCTGAAAATTACTACGGAATACTTTGACTTCAGAAGAAATCCCGAAGTCAGGATGCGTAAGCCAAGTAAGTGTTAGAAATAAGCATGGCACAGACAACCTTGGCTCCCCAACTCCACTTACTGGCAAAAGAGTAACCATGAAGTTTCAAGAAAAGATTCATAACAAACACAGTATTTGTTAGCCATCTAATCAGTTTGGTTTGCACTACAGAGTTTAAAAAAAAAAACCAAAATATTTTTATGGTGAATTTTTGCAAAAACCCAATAGGAAACCTATTACTATCCAACTTTCCTTCTGAGCTATTCAAATGTTTGGCTTTTTGACAAACATTAAAACACTCTACATGCAAATTATATTCTAATAATTTCATACAGTGTAAAAGCCAATACGAGGCTCAGGGCCTGTCAAATCTTATCAGCTTTTCCCCCATTCTGGTAATACAGACAGTCTGAGCTGCAGTAGCAGAGCTACCAGGTGATCTTTACAGAAATCCTAGTGGGTTTTTTTTCCAGTGAAAAATACAAGAAAACTGACATACTACGTTCCAGTTACTCACTTTTTCACATCTCTGCTTCCTGCCCAGTAGCCTCCAATTGCAACAGTCCCGACAGCCATGACAAATATAATCACCATGTTATAGTCTAGCACAGGCTCATTTGGTGCGTACATCGCCCCCTTCACCGAGCTGCCGAAACTCTGCAGAGGGAAGTACAAGTTAAGAAGAACTGCCAAAAGCTACCTTAGCAAAGGTTCAGTTATTTAGTTTTCACTAAGCAACCTCAGGATCAAGCTTTATTACAAATACTTAAGAACAATCTATTGGCTCTACTATCAGGGATATTTATTGCTGGCACCAGGCTCCATTTTGATTTTATTCTGAAGATGACAAGTAACATCCCAAGAGATTTGCCTTGTTTTTTTCAAAACATAATAATGCAATCTTCATGATGTTGTGGTTTAACTCTGGCTA